CTCTCTCTCTCTCGTAGGAGGCAGCTTTCTTTTTCCTTCTTATATATGTGTTGTTCCGAAGACAGACGCCCTCACTGAGGGCACCGTCACACTAGCACCTCATCGAATGTATCTGATCGTTATCACGGCGTTAGAGAAGGGTTTTTTTTTCTTCTTCTTCTTCTTCTTCCTTTGTTTTGGTTTTCTTGTTCTTTTATGGATGCAACTGCCTACCGTCTTCCCCCGAACACAATGCACCCTAATTTTGGCCGTATCTGGCCGGAAATATAGCTTGTATACATTCATTTTTAGGGTGCGTAATGTTCGGGGGAGGACGGTAGGCTCGGCAAAACTCGGTGCGCAGTGAAATTCAAAACAGGATCGGAGGGGTAGTGGTGGTTTAAGGGGGTACTCCCCAACCTTCTTTTTTTTTTTTTTTTTTTTTTGAGAAACTGCAAAGGGGCCGTTCTAATCGGGGTGAAAAAAGAGCATCCCATCATAGTTAAGCCCCCCTTTGTGCAGGCTCCGTTCTATAACTGGGTAGCGTCACCATGGGCGGAGACCGGGTCCAGCAGCGTACCCTTTACTGATACGCAATTTTTTTATTTTATTTTTTTATTATTTTTTTATTTTTTTATTTTTTTTTACCTGATACGCAAATTCTGCAGCATGTAGTGTTCCTTTTTTTTTTTTTTTTCCCAACAATTTTATTATAATACTGGGAACGGGGCCCAGTGTCCCTCACAGCATGTTGAGGTGACTCTATTGAAATGATAGCCAGGCTCATCAGTCTACCCGTCTCAACCCGAATAGAACCCCTGGTCATTATAGCTGTATTTAGGTCAGCTTTCCGTCTAGATACGGCGATAATCACAGGGCGTTCTATTCGGGTTAAGAAAGTAGCAGAAATCAGGTCACCGGTCTGCTGCCGTGTACTTCGACTCTACTTGGGGGCCAGCATCGAGTACCCGTGTGCAAGGGGATTCACTTCACTGCTCTCTCCTCATTCTCTGTCTATCTGATTCCATCAGGTAATGCAAATTCGGACTGTGGCATTACCTGCTAATTAACACTGACCCGTGAAACCATTTTTTTTTTTTCAAACTTTTCTGTGCACAGGTCAAAAAAAAAAAAAAACGGAAGACCTCGAGAGAACCGCAGTCTATGCAGCCGCCAGAGTAAAGAGCATACTTGGATTACGATTTTTTTGACCGAATCTGGCCGTCATTACGATTGGATACAACAAGGAAAGTCCCTATCAGCAGTATGCGTATGCCATCAGTATGAAACATTATTACTGAGTAATTAACTGATTCATTAGCCTACGGCCCGATGGAGAGAAGCAACGCGATTTTTCAGAGTCCAAATGTTTAAAAAAACAACTCGACAAAGGAGAAGACAAATGTGAAACTGCACGGTGCAATGCACACAGCCCATGTGAGGAAGAAGCGGGAAGCCAGTCTTTCGGTCGAGAGAGAGAGAGAGAGAGAGAGAGAGAGAGAGAGAGAGAGAGAGAAACACAGAGCCACAGAGAGAGACAGAGAGACAGAGAGAAACACAGAGCCACAGAGAGAGACAGAGACAGACACAGAGACAGACAGACAGAGACGGACAGACGGAGACAGAGACAGAGACAGAGAGACAGAGACAGACAGGTAGAGACAGAGACAAACAGACAGAGACAGAGAGACACAGAGAGAGGAGGGACAGACAGACAGACACATAGACACACAGGCAGACAGACAGACAGAGACAGAGACAGAGACAGACAGACAGACAGACAGACAGACAGACAGACAGACAGACAGACAGACAGAGGCAGAGACAGACAGAGAGACAGAGAGACAGAGAGACAGAGAGACAGAGAGACAGAGAGAGAGGAGAGAGAGGAGAGAGACAGACACATAGACACATAGACAGACAGACAGACAGACAGACGGACAGACGGACAGAGGCAGAGACAGACAGAGAGACAGACAGAGAGGAGAGAGACAGACACATAGACACATAGACAGACAGCCAGACAGACGGAGACAGACACAGAGAGAGAGAGAGGCAGAGACAGACAGAGAGAGACAGTGAGACAGTGAGACAGAGAGACAGAGAGACAGAGAGACAGAGAGAGAGGAGAGAGAGGAGAGAGAGAGAGAGAGGGAGAGGCAGAGAGAGGGATAGCGAGAGAGAGAGAGAGAGAGAGAGAGAGAGAGAGAGAGAGAGAGACATCCATTACCATTGGAAAAGATACAGAGAAGATTATCATGGGCCCTGCGCCCTTCCTTTCGGGGGGAGGGGGGAGGAGGGAGGAGGGAGGAGGGAGGAGGCATACATTAGGACTTTGTAGGTGGAATATGGCCTTAGTTTCCGTCTAGGTACGTCCTGCAAAGTCCTCATGCAGGTACCCCCTTACTCTCGTCCCGACGGGAAAAAAATCACTTCATCACCGTTATCACCATCACTTTATCACTACCCCATTGTCCACCAACATATTGGAACGATACACAGATACGCATGGTCCCTACAAAGGATTAAATCATAATAATAATAATAATAATAATAATAATAATAAATAATAAACCGATCCTGGCAGAGAAGAAGAAGAAGAAGAAGAAGAAGAAGAAGAAGAAGAAGAAGAAGAAGAACGCGTGCGCTGTTGAGCAGTGTACACGCTTGTATGAACAAATGAAGCTCTACCTTCTTCTTTTATCATGACTCGCAATTGCGTGTGAAGAGCAATTTTTGGCCATTGATCACCTTCTTCTTTTATCATGACTGAAGTCAGCGAGAGTTTATTAACTACTACTAGTACTTTTATCTGGAATTGAAATTAGCTTTATCACTCACTAGAGCGACTATTAATAAAGAAAAAGGTGAAACGGACGCGGCCGAGAGTAGCTACGGGAGGAGGAGGAGGAGGAGGAGAGCAGTTTCATAAACCATCGGGATCTCATTTTCGTATCAAGGATCGGGATCTCTTACGGTATTATTATCTTATCAGGCATCGGGATCTCATTTGTCATCAAGCGTCGGTCGGGATCATCAAGAATTTTGCAATGTCATTTCTCATCGAAGTTTGGCATCTCCTATGATCTCATCAACCAACGGGATCTCATATCTCATCAACGATCGGGATCTCATAAGTCATCCACCGTCCCAGAGTTTCAAGCTTGGCTCAGCAGCCATTCGATCTCGCCGTTTTCTGATTGCCTTTGATTGATTGATTGATTGATTCATTCATTCAATCAATCAATCATTGGTCAATTCATCAATTCATTGAATTGATTTGATGGACGGATGGATTCATGGATTGAGTGATTGATCGATTAACAGATTGATTGATTGATTGATTGATTGATATCTTTTAATGATCCATTTATCCGCCTGTGCATTTTGCATCCATGATCCGGTCACATCCATCAATCGAACACTCCACCTCCCTCATGGGATTGCACGCTCAAGCCACGTGGCAGGATGTGGATGAGGAACCAAGCCACGTGGCAGGATGTGGATGAGGAACCAAGCCTTCAACGATCCTGCCACGTGGCTTGGTTTCTCATCCACACCCTGCCAGTCACCTGGCCGCCATAGCGCGCCAAGTCGGTTGGTGCGCGCCAAGCCGGTAAAGAGAAACAACCTGCTCGTCTTTTCTTCTTTCTCTTCTTCTTTTTTTTTTTTTCTGTGTCAGAGTTGCGACCCCCAACAAAAAATTGCGCTCGTACCCCTTCAAGTCGGGTCTAATTGCGCTCGTACCCCAATTGCGAGTCAGAATACGAGCGAGCGCAAACAATTGAAGGGGTACGAGCGCAAAAAATTAGACCCCTTTTTTTTTTTGGAGGGGGTAAAAAGCCGCAATTGGACCCGAAGCTCATGGCGAAACTGGGGGGGGGGAACACTATCCGCCAACTTACCTAAAGCTGCTCGACCGACTTGGCGCGCACCATTTTTCTCAAATTTTCTCATTGGACTCAAGAGGTGGCCTCGCCAACTTACCT